TTTACAAGTTAAATGGTAAATATAATTCTACGCTATCCTCATATCCGCAAGATAAAAACTGTTTGATAAAACCCTGAGATTATTCTAGTCTTGGCATATTCTCATATAATCTACGCGTGCGCGATGCGTCAGAATAATAATAGTAATAACCTGTGGGTTTTAAGGCTCAGTTTCTATAGCATTTGCAAATTATGGTATAATTCTGGTCAAGCTACATATTTATAATAAAAACAATATCGAGGATTTAAATTATAAAATTATTTACTGTATCATTTACATATTTTTAAAATTTTAGATTTATAGTGTTATTTTAGGTTATTTATGGTTATTTAGTATATGATGTTATTTATGGTGCTGTATATTATTTTTCTTAATTCCTCAAATTTTTGTTTCATTATTTATTAATTTATTAATCCGTGAATAACGATTCAATTAATTTAAAATATGCTTCTAAAATTTCAACAGCAAATAAGACTTGAAAAAAGATAAATTATTTTTCATGTTTTTAGGGTACATTAAGATTTTTAAATGATAAAATAGCACATATTTCATGTTTATAAAAATCTGATTGGTCGATGATGGACCTCTGTGAAAATCAAGGGCGCGCGTGTGCGTGCGTGCGTATGCGTATGTGTGTGTGTGTGTGTGTGTGTTTTTCGTTTCGCTTTTCTCATCGGCTTTCGGTCGGTCGGTGCGAGCACAATTTTGAGAACCCGCGCACCGGAATGTCGGGGCCCCGGTCGGCTTGACGGTAATAAGAAGTGATACGATCAGAGGAGCCGCCTCTGCTATTTAGTCACACCTGCCATGCGCGGGACCTTTGATGTGGCCGCCGACACAGACGGCGCGCCCCGCGGCTATTACCCACCGCCGAGGCACCGCGTAACTTACCGTAGCGCCGTAACGCGACTCCGCTCCGCCGCCGACCAAGTGCCCCCACCACGGAACACCGCACCGCTCCTGTCCCGCCGGTCGAGAAGAGCGTGCTCGGGCGCGCGCGCGCGCGCGCGCACACGTAGTAGTGGTGGTAGCGGTGGCGGTGCGCGCAGAGAGTTATTAGTCACCTCACTCGCACTTGCCGGACCGCCGCCTCCTATCGCACGTAATATATACACGTATACACCTGTGCTGCAGTTTATTATCAGTTCATCGTTAATTGTTAATAACGCGCGAAACGCGCTTTGCTAATCACGGCCGGTGTGCACCGTCGTCGTGCGTTTCGTACCGCGGCAAAAACCGTTTTCACCCGTTCCCTCTTCCCGAAAACGATACGTCTGAACCGCGATCGGAAACGTTGCTGTGAACGCGGTGGATCTTAAAATAATAAAACGATAAAAGCCACGAACGCCCTACTCGTACTGGGTTTGCGAGGGGTTCGTCAAAAAAACCGGCGCGAACGGCTTGCACACGTACGCTGCTTTACGATCGCGCTCAGTACTCGGTCGGAAAACGAACGATAACGCTCGCGATTCGTTTACCCGTCCGAACGGAATTACGATCGGAACGAGCGCGTGCAACAACTCTCGGCCGCTGCACATTTCTTCGTGTGTTCGTTCGCAATTTCGTCCAACGACGTTCACACGCGCGCGTCACGTTCAACAATGCCAAAACAATAATTAGATGTAAATCGGGATCGTTTCGTTATTTTTATGACCGCTGCGGACGAGCTTTGAGATGGATTCTCTGTCGGGCGAAAGTGAAAAAAAAAAAAAAAACGAAACAAACATAATGAACGTACTCTGTGTGTCGGACGAAAAATATCCCAGCACGGCAATAGTGATTCGCGTGATCTGCCTACGCTTCGTGCGATCATTAGTCTCCGGAACGAATATACGTATAAATGTACGTAATCGAATGAAAACGAGCTCCTCTGTTGTTTTCCGTTTTCCATTACAGTCTAAGCATTAATAATTGTAATAAGGCTGGTGAACGGTTTTCGCAACGTTAGGAGTAAACGCGCAACTTATCGTTCTCTATAATAATAATAATAATAATAATATCAGCAACAACAACAACAACAATGATAAATATTTAATGGAAACACGGTTTCGTTCGAAACGGAAATCTGGTGGAAATGTTCTCAGGATGATGATCGCGCTGCACACAAAACGACGGCGCGGCAACAATGACGGAGATCCGACGAATACCACGGACCAAAATAGGTGTGAAGTGACCGCCGCCGCCGCCGCCGCCGTGTAGTAATTACCGGACCGTGACATTGGTCGGCACGTCGAGAGGGTAGTATTATTATTATACACGGTCGTCATCGTGATGTAAAAATCCGTGATGTCCCGCGGGGGGTGGGGGGGATTCGGAGGGTAAATGTCTCTCGCGCCCACCGCGGTATGCCCGTTTGTAGGTGTATCAAACATAAAACACGGTATATAGTACCGCCAAGGCGGCATATAATCACCAGTTAATCCCTTTTGAGATGGGACGAGAATGAAATTTCACTTGCGCCTGAATAAAAATATGCGTTACATTGTGCGTGTGCGTTGTGCACGTATTACTTACGCTTTACGAACGTGTAAATCTTCTCGCTGAACGCAGAGCGTGCGTAATTCGCCACAGTACGATATCGTTGAGATAATAATTAAAAAAAAAAAATAAAAACTAATAGTGGTATTTTTTTTCCAAAACCAAGTCGTCACTAAGAGTAATACTATCCAAAATACTGACTCTAAAATAATATGCAGCTTTTACATTAAAAACAACTTACATGTCGGAAAATAACTGTCTGTGTTGGTAAAAAAAAAGTACAAAAAAATACATCAAACTTAATTTAATTTCTGTCCAACGGTAAAATTTAGAAAAAAATTACTTTATATCTTTTAATAGAACGCCCACGATATAAACGTACGTATATAACATAGGACAGAGGTACTTCACGTTTCACAAGCATCGCCACCTTAACCAACCTTCACTATATATTATATCTAACGTACGATATTGTGTTCAGAAATCTTCGGCTATTAAATCACAGAAATAAAGAGAGAGAAAAGGAGTGAGAAACGCTTCGCTTGTCGTTTGCTCGTTAGTTAAATTATGAATTCCTACCTACTCTTCTCGACGTATAAATTCACAGATTACAAATTAGCTGTGGAATTCGGTCTGTTGCTTCTTTTTTTCTGTCTTTCTTGTGAACGCTTGCGCGTGAGCAATAAAATAGTCATGTCGGTCACCGGTTTTTTTTCCACACTTACAGTATATAATTTTTAAAAAACATTTTTATCCCAAAATAATAATGTAACGCTCGCTTTTTGAAAAAATGTTTGTTACTTTTTTTGAATACCATTTCAAAAACTGTGTTCGCGCGTATGCTTAGAACGGCCAACAAGAATAAACTAGAATGATTCTAAACTTAAAACGTTTGCAAATTAAAGCCAGAGTAATGCGTTTTAAATTATATTAAGTACCGTGTTTAAGTACTCGATTGTATATCTTATAAGTTACGAGATAGACAAAGAAAAAAGAACAACATGTATTGACTTTATAGCGATTTTTATGTTCAAAAAAAAAATCTGAAATTGAAGAAAGGTTGCCCCGAACCGGATGTACATAACCAGCGGAACATCAGTTGGCCGTTCGATTTGGTATTACGTAGTACATGTAGACGCGAGTTTGCTTTATTCTTTTGAAGAATAGTTTTTTAAATCCGAAAATCTAATAACAACCAAGGCGCATCCACCGTCGACCACCTTGGATTGTTGTTATTCTTTTTGGACTACTATTGCAATTATGACACGCGACCAGATGTGAAACAGCGAACAATACGCGTTGTAATCGTCGATAAAGCTTAGTTGACTCGGTCGTAACATAATAAAGTCGGAGCAATATTAAACGCTGTATTATTTTTGTTGTTATGCACATGTAGTAAACATCTTTGCCGATTCTCGCCGCCGCCGCCGTCGTCCGGAAAACGCAGAGATTTATTCGTTTGAACAATTGGTCACGGTACGATGTTTTTTATAAATTTATCGGAGTTGACATTTAACGGGTTTGAACGCGGGCGCTCTGAATGGCCTCCGAACAAAATGTGTAGCGCGTGTGGTAAAATATAAAAATGAATATTTTCGTACCGTTTTCGCGTTTCACTCGTGACCGTTAAACATGCGTTCCGCTCGCGGCGGCCGCAGTCGATATTTAATTCCCCATTGCTATCTCGCTGCGGTCTGTTATTTGATTTGCAAACGCGCACAATCGTAAATAATACATCGGTAACGTTGTCGGTTACGCTGTTCGTTCGTTAAAAATATACGCGCCCGTATTATTTACAAGTACACATTCCTACACACGATGTCGTGCGCAACATTAACCACATCGGCGGTAGCGGTATCGAAACGGTCGTAGTTAAATTCGTGTATATTTCGGACGGGATTGCGCTACTACCTACGTGCGAGTCAATCGATTATGCACACCTGGTTTTACGTGAACGTACAACGATATCCGAAACGCTGTATCGATAGAGAAAATGTACATCGAATGTTTTTCGTAGGTCCCTGTAAACTTATGGTCGCCCGATCGGGCAAAACCTGTCCCCAAACATCGGTATTTTCTCGAACCATGCTCCGTGTTTCCGTCTTACCAGCATTTTACCCTGTAATTACCTGTATTCACATGCATACACAAGCACATATATACAGAGGCGGAACTAGGGACTTTACGGCCGGGAAAAATGTTGGAATTACGCCCTGCAATAGACCGAGAATCAAATACCCTTCCCTACAATTTTTTTTCTAATAATTTGCATACAATCATACTTATTGAGTTCTAAACACATTATCAGTAACCAAGTTAAAAATATCAAACTAGCAGTCAATAATATATTATTTACTGCGAAAATTACATCCTCTACAATTTTACGCCCGGGGATAAAACTCCGTCATCCTCCCCCTAGTTCCGCCTCTGCATATATATGTATATTTGACCATGTATTTTTTTTTCTGTAACCATTACACGGATTATGTTGTATTAACGGGTGTGTTTCGTGTGCTCCGCAGACACCAGTTCCAGTCACTTGAACCTGTTCAGCTCGCGAGCGCAGCCCAAGAAGAAGCGCAAGTCGCGCACCGCGTTCACCAACCATCAGATATTCGAGCTAGAGAAACGTTTCCTATACCAGAAGTACCTGTCGCCGGCTGACCGGGACGAGATCGCGTCCAGCCTGGGCCTGACCAACGCGCAGGTGATCACGTGGTTCCAGAACCGTCGTGCCAAGATGAAGCGGGACTACGAGGAGCAGAAGAAGGACCGGGAGACATTGGCGGCGCTCAGCGAGCACAAGATTTTCCTGGAGACGGCGCAAAACATGGGCATACTGAAAAAGAAACCTCAACCAGCGGCCACGTGCAGTTCGCCCACTGATCAGATCAAGTACGACGAGTGAACGTCACTTGGTCGACGATGGCAGTCGGGTAGTGTAAACGTGGTGCACCGCGGGCCGGCCGGCCCCGTGAAACGTAACCATATTGTACCGTACGCGTGTAGAGCGAACGTTATTTTTTTTATACTTCTATTAAAAGGCAAAAAAATAAAATAAACAAACAAATAGATAACGATTTGAACGTTAAAAGCGGTAAAAAAATATGCGTGTGTTGCTCACGCGATCACCGCCAAAACGACGGGTACGTTACGTAAAAAACAATGCGCTGTGCACCGCCGCAGCACCGTACGCGCCCGACGACCACGTCCGTTTACCTCCGGCGCGAGCGGAGCGTGTTCGTTTCACGCGTATCTCCCCCGGCCGAGAGATCGATAGATATTTATTTTGTACATAACGATTTCGAGATCTCATATTATAAATGCACGTGTATATATTTCACTAAAACGATCGAGACCGTACGCCCCGGGACGGGCACGGCGAAGCACATCGTCCGGCAGTGTTTGCATTTTTTCTCTCGCAAAACTTATCGTTGTTTCCGCGCGCGCACTCGAACCGTTCGTCGGGGGGGGGGGGGGGGGGGGGGGGGGGGGGGGCCCCCTCCCCCCCCGCCCCCCCCCCCCCCCCGCGGGCGTGGCCCCCCCCCCCCCCCCACCATGGGGGGCGGGGCCCGGGCCCA